CTTGAGAAAAGACTTATTTGAAAATATAGTTAAACTAAGTATAGGAAAATCACTAGTGATCACTGGTGAAGATGCCAAATGTTGTATTCTTTTTCTAATTTAACACAATTTTTAACAATTTGAATTAAAAGAAAAATAATTTAAATTTTAACATTAATTTCAGAATTTCTTAGTATTTGTTTGCTCTTTTGCCTTAATGACAGTGTGCACTTTGTTATTAAGCCAGCATGGACACCACAAGTTTGTGCAAAAAACATTGATAAGTAGATCAAGTCAAGTCTTCTGAATACGAGCTTCAGTAAGAAGGAGATGATTCTATTCTACGCTCTAAAAGGACCTATTGGTACAAAGTCATAATATCAATGTCACAAATTTGTCCTACATTTCAATAGTAACCTGGAAATTGTACAAAATCTTGAATGTTTCTTCTTCATTTTCCTTGTCATAACTTTTTTAACATTCTAGAACTTTCTATTTTCATTGCCAGGTTTAAGTGTAGAAACCCCAAAGATTTTCAGTGTGGTCTAAGACTTTTGGACCTCACTCTATTTGTGTCCATTAGGTTCTGTTTTGTACTATAAGAGAGAGCAGGAGAATTTAAAATATGCATTATTATCATGAAAATGACCAGCTAATCACTGCTGATTCATCAAAAAGCTGAATGGAATCAGTGATTTCAATTCCTTAATTGAACAGTTTAACCCAGAAGGATAAGTGGTTTCAGAAAATGTGTGTGTGTGTGTGTGTGTGAAAAGTTTAATCAAGTAATAGCGACAGCTCTAGTATATTTTAGTATCTTTTCCTCTTTTCCTGTCTCCATTTTTCTCCCTTTTCCTCCACCCATCCTTCAATGACCATCTTTGTGTTTTCTTTCTTGCCCACACTTTTTCGGGAATCCCGTTCCTGCTGGTAAATGCTGACAGGCTGGAACGATGACGACATCACCAGCGCGAGTGTCCTGCCCTCACCCCAGCTTCCTGCACCAGCAGAGAGAATAAGCCCAGCCCATTCAAACACAATGGTCTCTTTCTCCTCCCTGATATTGATCCTTAGAGGGACGTGTAGCCAGACGGCCAGATGGACAGAGGTCAGCGCACACGGCCGCACTATTGTGCCCTGATCAGGGCCGGTTATTTTCAGCTCTGCTGCTGACCAGCCAGAGTCATGCCACAACACTCTGCTCTCTCATTATAGTAGTGATAATGGGTTTGACCTCTGACCTAGGCGCACAGAGCAAGAGTATTGATAGAGCAGTGACTGGTCATCGGGGCTGTAGTGAATACTAGGCCACCTTAGTGGATGGTTTGGGCTGCGGTTATGGCATCATCAGTGGTTCGATGATGATTACTTCTGTCAGTTCAGTCTGGCATTGTGCTCAGATGTTGAATGCTTTAGATGCTTGATGTGACCACTTCTATTTGGGGTCTCTGTGAAAAAAAAAACAGCAGAAATAGCTTGGTTGTACTCTACGTACTTGAAAGTCCATTTTTGCCAAAGCACTTAAGAGGCTGATGAGCTATTTCTGGCCTTTGCAGCGGACGCCAACTTGAAGCAAAATGAAGCTTCTTGGCATGAATCACATGACGAAATGAGCCTTTTTACAACTTGGCAACATTAGAACTCAGAATGTCTTGTAAAGTGGTACAGTAGAGTATTTACATTTTTTTGAATAATCTGCTCAAGTTCAACTCGTGAGAATCAGTTGTGGGTTTTCGTGTTTTTGATGGACATTTAACTCCATGAGTAACAAAGCCACAGTGATCTCACAAGCAGTACTCCTGGTACTTGCAGAGAACAAGTCTGGACAGTGAAGTCATGTCAATTTGTAAAGTAAAACACTGTCCAGGAAACAACTCCTCTCCTGAACTTTCTCATGACTGCTCCTCCTACGTGGAATCTTAACAATTTATCTAGAATGGATCATAACATTTGCTTTTCCACCAGGGCAATGCAAAGAAGAGAAATAAAATGATGAGGGAGTCATGAATCATTGTGTTCTTATAATCTGAAAGAATGAGTGGAGTGAATAGGGGGTCAGCACAGTTAAACTCAAAACTCCAAATAGGCCTTTTAGGGAAATTCCCCGGGTGTCGATTTGAGAAGCAATGGAATCCATACAGAGAAAGGCTCTTGCACAGTCTGCTCCATTTACTCTATTATCATGAGGCACAGTGTTTCCTCTGAATTGCTATTTCTGTATTAGTGGAGGCTCAGGGCCATGGGTTGGCTTAGTGCAACTGGTTTATAGCACATTTGAGGTTCAGAGAAAATGGACAGAAATGGACTAGTTACATGTACAAGAGCCCTTTAAGATAATGTTTTAGAGGAAAGAAATTCAGATCTGTTTGTGTATGTCTGTATGCTCACTAGTATTATGTGAATGGCCTGCTGTGGTCTTCTTAGAATTACCTCCACATAGCAGGTACTGTTCTTGATCATTATGTAGAGCACAACTGAGCCCTCAGTATCTCTCTTAACATTCTTCCTCCTTCCCTCCATCAGCTCGAGACGTTTTGATTTGATCCATAAAGCTCAGCTCTGTGCTCTGGATTGTGCACTTAATAAGTTACATAATGTGCGCCCGAATGGACGTCCACCGTCCTCTGTCGCTGCTTCTGTCCTGCCCATCTATGACTCAATGAGGCTTGTAGACAGAATGAGTCATGGAAGCACTGAAAATCAGGCTGGAATTGCATCGGCCTCATTCGAAAGTCTAAAACAGAGTGTGCCAAACTCATTAAGACACGGCGCGTGTTTTGTTTTCAGCCTGGCGACTGCAAAAAAGGCTTGTTTATTTGTTTGTCTGATTCTTAACCCTCAACTGCTGAGGGCCATCCTTTACTGATCATCGAAATGCTTATTTACTCATTGGAGTAGATGTATTTAGTGCCTGTCGTTTTTGTTTTTCTTTTTTATTCACAACGTTGTCACTAGAATTTAATTTGAGTTCTCGTATGCTTCACGCATCAGGGAGCAATGTTCCCCTTGGAGAGGCAGAGCGCTGTTTGGTAGAATTAGGCCAAGCGAGGAGGATGGTGGAGCGCTTCGTGAAAAGGTGGCGATTTGGTTTTTTTGCCCTTCCGCTGTGTTATTTGCATACCTGTTCGCTGCCCTCGTCAGGCAAGCTCATGCAAATTGGGATCACCTATGCAAATGAGGTCAGCTTGTAGGAGGCGAGGTCTGTGAACAAGAAGGAAGCAGACCGTGCTGGCATGCGAGGTTCCCCCCGCTCACGCAGCCTCTGGAACAGCAAGCATCGTTACGGGCGTACACCCACTCAGCTCCGCTCGCTGCTACACGTACCCCCAACCTCGATGCCAACACTTGGATTATTAGTCCTGTGTTTACAACGCATTTTCGAAACATCCTGTTCTTAATTGCTTGTAAAATCCTCAAATTCTAAACCATTGTGCACTATGCGGACCAAATGGCATCGGCACAAGGCTGCAAGCTTCCTTATCTCTCCCTGTAAATGAACAGTCTTTTCCTCTTTTCACATTAATCTTGAGTAGCCTATAGTTCCCGTCTTTTTGCGGCACATTGTTGAAATGCTTTGGCAGAGGATGGCTGAATTCCACAGTCCTGGCGTCTGGACCGAGGCACAAAGGGTCAGAGGATGAAAGCAGCCTCTTTGAATCAGGATATCCTGTGGGGCTGCCGTTTTCCCCAGAGGAGGAAGATCAGGCCTGACTGGCTCACCAAGTCCGGATTGTTGTAGTTAAGGCTGACTGAGCCCTGATCAGATTTCGTTGATCACTGTTTTTATGTCTGCGATTCTGTAGGCAAGCTGAGGCTTTCTTATACCAGTGCTGTGTGTCATCTCCATAGCTTTTTTCTTCAGACAAACAGTATTAGAACTTCGCAGTCTTTTTTAACACTTTAATCTGCAAGAACTCATATGTTTGTCCACAGTTTAATGTTTCTTCATAGTAGTTAGTGAATAATCTATTGTAATGTTTTTTTTAATAGCTTAATAATAATAATGTAATTTGTCATTAATTTCATGGATCTCTGAAAAAAATATATACAGTACTTAGCAAAAATCAGAGAGAAGACAGGAGTTTTGTAAAATGGAGTTTAAAAAATTATTATATCCTTTGAAAATTTTAGATAATACAGAAAACCGTAGACCACCAAAACTGCCACCATCAGGTAAACAACACTTAAAGCTTTCATTTTTGAGGGGGAGGAGAAAATCAAGGTCCACTCTTGCTTTAGATCTGTCCGTCCATTCCACTGTGAGAAGACAACTCAGCACAGAAAGGATGTGTAGCTGTCAAGAAGCCATAACTAAGAAAATGACAAAAAAGAAGAACATCCACAAAACAAACAAATAAGCTGATGGTGTTCTCAGAACAGGACTGACTGCTCCAGAGCCCTGATGTCAACTTTACTGATTGTGTTTGATGTTGTGAGAAACTGAAAATCTAACCAACTTCTAAGACTTAACTTGGGAGATGAGACTGAAAAATAAAACTATGTGTAGTTAATGACTCAAAATCAAATGAAGCATGGTCTCTGACTTTTGCACAGTACTGTATGCAAAACAGATACCTATAATCTTTTACCACTACACTGTCTGTCCAATTTGTCCTTTCAAACTCCTGACCTTGCATGTAGTAGGGAGATGTTGAAAGATTTGAAATACCCTGTGAATGAACAGTTTTTCAAAGCGTGGCATTGCAGCTGCTGTGTTAATCATCCAATCTGTTGTTGCAATTAAGAACAAAATGCACTGTTCATGTGTGTTAAATTCCATCCAGCATTATAACTTGGCTCATGAATAATCACCAGTCAAGCTTAGCCTTTAACTTTGCAGCGCTACGCTTCAAGCTATAAGCAATCAAAAACTTGCAGTGGACGTTACAGATGTGTCTGCTTGCCTGCCTTTGTTCTATTCAATTAATACAGTGACAAGCTGAAATTGTGTATTTTATTACACTAAGATGTCTTTCCACTGAAGTGTACAGGAATCTTATTGTATATTTGTTTGTTTGTAGCATCTGGTGGCCTGGGATGCTGCAGACCCTGAGTGCCTCCTGCAGCTGGTGAAGGAGCTCCTGCAGCAGTACCATCAGTACCAGTGCCAACGACTAAGGGACAGCTCACGCCTGCTTTTTGAGTACGATAGCCTGCTAGAGGACCCCAACTACGGCCGCAGCATGGAAATCTACGCTGGCCGCAAGAACAGCTGGGTAAATGCATTTACTAATGCATATGCAGATGTGTCTTTGAAAACATATCTCAGCTATGCGTCCTTCTGTAGTCGACATCATGCCCACATTAGGAACTCCAGGTCTAAGCAGGTTTTCTCTGTGGGGAAAATGAGTGATGTTTTCGAAAATCTACATCGTCATGCCCAGTGGTAAACACAAAAGGTTCCAAACCTGATTTGTTTTGTGCTACATTTCCTCCTAAAGTGTCACTGGATCCTCTGAATTACAGGGTTTTTAAGAAGCATGAAATATGAGCAAAGCTACATAGATGCTACAAACAAGCTATTATTCCTGCACGTGGAAATGACATTGCTTAAAAGGAAGTCTATTCTTTAAATCAGCTACTCAAATTGTAGGCTGCTAATGCCAAAGCAGTTTAACTACCTCATTTGACGATGCCTGTTTGTTTTCACAGGGTATTTTAGTAGAGTTGCCAGACTTATGATGTCAGTTCAATGTGCAGCAGTGTTAGTTTCCATGTAATATACATTGTTTGACTCCTCACTGACCTTGTGATTCTGAGGATCCAGTTACGTTTTGGGGAAAATGCTTACAGGTCACAACTATCGTCTTTGAAACATATTTGTTGACTACAGGGGGCGATAGCAGCGGTTTTCATTGCAACATTTTTCTGTAAGCACTTACTATTTCATCATACTTGAGTGAAAAATCATTAAATATTTTACTGCTGCACATAATTACAAATTTTGCATTTTTGGAAACTAAAGCTGTTTCAGTTTGGAACCCATTAGAAGTCTAAACACAGTTGAAACACTGAATGTGAATGCTTCTATGGCCAAGACTGTCAAACATCACTACTTTCAAGTCAAAAGTCTACATCAACTAAATGTCCCTTGAAGTTCAGAGGAAAATTGTTTGAAGGTGGTCTAACTTGGAAGTATTATTTCAAAGAAACCACTGGTTACGGGCACAGAAGAAGAGGAAGAGGTTACTGAAACCAAAAGCACTGAAACTGGACTTTTGAGGAGCACATGTCTGTTTTATGGTCTGATCAGTCAAAAGCTCTGTTTTGTAAGACAAAGAAAGGTGATTTTGTTGTGCTGGTGATACTAATCACTGCACCATTTGTTCTAGCCTCCTGCTGACTGTGATTGGTCCTAAGCACTGCGTTAACAGTTCTGTGACTTTCCCGACTGTGATCAGTATTGATCACTGTGTCATTTGTTTTGAGACCTCCCCCTTCCCGATATGCGACTGGTACTAATCACTAATTATTATAAAGACCTTCCCCTGGCTGTGATTGGTACTAGTCACTGTGTCATTTGTTCTGAGACCTCCTGCTAAATGCGATTGGTACTAATCACTAATTGTTCTAAGACCTTCCCCTGACTGCCATTGGTACCAATCACTGTGTTGTTTGTTCTGAGACCTTCCCCTGATGGTTCTTGGTCTAAATCCATGTGTTGTAAGACGTGCGTTCAGGGTAGTTCGATTTTGTTTACTTCTTTTGTTTTCTGAAGGCTACTGCCAGCTTTAGTGTCACTGCTTTGCTATGTAAACCTTACGAACAGCTACCTTGGAGCACAATCTCAGTAGACTACTTGTAGAAACAAGAAAATTGCACAACTGCTCCAAACATACCAACCCAAAAGGAGCACAACATCCTGCTGCTGTCCTTTAAGTTGTTTCTCAATACAAGCAAATTTGGGAACAGTGCTGAGTGTGGGTGTGTATGTGGGTGTATGTCTTGCTTCATGGGCTCTACCTCTTAAGGGATGTGGCAAATATAGCTGTGGTTTGTGGGATAACAGACAACGATTAGGAAATGCTGAAGAAGTGCTTATATTATGATGATGCAACTCAAAGAATGCATGTAGCATGACTGTCAACAAGAAACGGTAATCTGCTTTTGTTAAGATTTGATAAAAATGAAGAAACGGCCCAAGGTCTTTAAATTAACATGAATTTATGTGATTTGCACAGCGCATTGTTTCAAGTTTTTAAATTTCAGCAAAAATTAAGAAAAGTGACATCCCATGAATTTGTTGAAAATGCAACACTGTTAGACTAGTGAAAGCTGTAAGAAAAACATCTTGGCTCTACTCCTCTCTGTTCATCAGAATCATACTAAACATTTACTTCATGACTGCCATAGGCTGATTCCCCCTAACACATAGTTCAGTCTTATTACAACCTTCAACATATACTTTTTTTTGTGTGTTTGTATGTATTCTAATGAACGTCATGGCTGTTTTGCAGACAGGAGAGTTCTCTGCTCGCTTCCTGCTCAAACTCCCTGTGGATTTCAGCAACATTCCCATCTATCTGCTCAAGGTAGGGCAGCTGCAACTCTTAATAGATGCACAGACCCAGGTACAAAGAGACACAATATACACCAAGTACTGTGTAGAAGTCTTAGGCACCTATACAAATTGTTTAAAATCATTTATCTAAGCAGTTAGAGTGTAATTGCATGTAAACACACCATATAATAATAGATCCAAAAGTCTTAAAAAGTTGTTGACGTTTTGTGAGCTAATTTGAAGAACAAAGTTTAGTTCCAGATTTCTCCTCAATGACCACAGCCATCACATGGATGTTTTCTGTTTCATCAGCAGCACACCAGATTTAATATAAAGAAGAATTAATTAGCCAAACAAGTTATTTAATTATAGTTACAAATAGTACTGGCACTCCTCAAAAATACATTTGGAAAGGGTTACACAAACACATCGACATACATTAAATCACTAGTTATTATATTAATATTATTAGTATTTATTCTAGCATTAGTGTCTTCATGAGCAAATAATTACTTACTACCCAGATAAATAGCTGTAAGGTTAACACAGGCATATGGTCATAAGTGCTTTAGATATCAGAGGAAAAAGAACGAATCTAATCTGATTCTGTCACTTGCTCGAAAATGGCACAGAACTGCTTGCAACACTGCAAAACTTAAAGTGAAGTAGGCCATGTGGTGACATCAGTGCCCACATGATAAGGGCACATGATAACAGTAGTTCCGGTAGAAGAGTATTTAAGCAGTTTGAGCATGATGTATATAAATGTATCCACGACTGTATAGTGTGACAGTTTTGTTCATATTTGCAATTAAAAATGTTCTGTGCCATGATAAATGTAGGGCTAAGAGTGCTGAGGGAGATTACAGCACAGTTGGGGATGATGCAGTTTATGACCAAAGCAATAAATCTCTACATCCCACTAGGACATAGTATATAGCGTGACAGTAATGGAAGTCTTGTATGTGAAGTTAGTGTTTATATGTTATACCCATGCATAATATCTGTAAAAATATAGTGTATATAATATATAGTAAGTCTGCAACCTCCCCAACAATAAGTTTTAAGAAAAATATCATCTGCTGTCTCTATGACAAACTGCATGTTATTAAAAAGAGAGCATAGTTAATCCTGTGTAATTGGATGTATTACAGCGCTTAATGTGAAATGTTGAAGATAAATCATTGATAGTATTTTTTAAACATGACACAAATGGTGCATTGTCTGTTCCAACTTGCCAAACCTCAAGAAAAACTAAATATCTTGATAAATACTGTCTATCGTGAATGTCTTGAAGTATTGAGATATTGTATATTTAGTGTATCGTCCACCCCATTATGTAGGTTAGATGCATGTGTTTTTGTGCATCTGTTTTGTGTGTATGTAGTGGTTTGTCTGTGTGTCTGTGTGTCTGTCTGTGTGTGTCTGTCTGTGTGTGTGTGTGTGTGTGTGTGTGTGTGTGTGTGTGTGTGTGTGCGCGCATGCATGCAGACGGTGGTCGTTGAGGCTGTGAGTTGACTAATCAGCAGCCCGTCACTCCCTATCAACTCTGCAATGTGTCTGCAGGCTCTCTCTCTCTCATTCTCTTGCTCTTGCTCTCTCTCGCTCTCTCCATCCCTCTCCCCCTTTCTCTCGTCCACAGTCACCCTGTGGCTCTCTCTCTCTCTTTCCCTTCCTTTTTTTCCCTCTCTCTCACCCTCTCTCCTGTACTGGTCTGTATGTGTATGTGTGGAAGCCTGTACGGCCTCAGGAGGCCCTTGCTCTGTGGCCTTTTCCAGTCTTGGCTGTATTTGTCCTCCCCAAGAGAGCTGAAATGATGGTAAACATACGGAAAACAGCAGCCATCATTAACATCAGTATCTTAACGTGCTGTCCCTCAGCACAGCACAGCACACACATAGATACACAGTGGACTAACTCAGTCCAGCTGCATGGCAGTGGCAGGGAGGTCACTGCTAGAGTAGGATGTTTTGAGTTCTGCTGCTTACAAGAGCACAGATTTCCCAAGTTTACCCCTGAAAATGTGGAAAAATAGGTTTCATGCAGTAAGAAAGTCTCTCTTGCAGGAAACCTAGATTTCATCAATTACAGAAATATTCCAACACGTCTTCAACGTAGCTACAGGGACTTCACTGTAAACTACTGGAACTGTTCTTAGGTTATAGAAGTGTGTAATAAAACTTTGGGCCCGCCAGCGTGCCTGTGGCTCTTAAGGGGTTAACTCTATCTGCCAAATGTGTAGCATGTTACGTACCTTGGGCATTAAATTCTGAATAATTTCTGAAGCAACTGCCACACAAAGTGTGTTGAGAGTCAGTGGGCTCTCTTCTCTTTTACTCAAGTGTGTAAACATTAAAATGTAGTAATTGACTATATATTACAGATGCAGCATGTAGAGATTAGGTAAAAGGCACTGAAGTATTCTAAATAGAGTCCTCAAGTGTCTTCGCTGTGATTGATGATACAGGTTCTCATTCCATTGTCTGCTGTGTATTCTAAGGTTTGTAGACACCTGCTCATCCTGTGTTTCTTTCTGAAATCACTGGTATTAATAAGGAGTTTGTTCCCCTTTTGCTGTAGTCATAGCTTCTGCTCTTCTGGGAAGGCTTTACATTATATGTTAGAACATACCTGTGAGGATTTGATTGCATTCAGCGACACTGCTTCACAGCTCAATCCTGGGCTCAATACCCCTCTAGCTGATGCTTGGCAGTGGGCATGGTGACTCATGTGTGGCTGTTCCAGAGCATCCCATTCTATTGGCAGTGTTTCTTTTTTTGTGAATATGCAAGTTCTGTGTGCACAATTGAAAGCCTGTGTTAGCAATGGGTGCTTGAAAGGCTATCCTGATACATTTGGACGTTTGGTGTAACTATTTTATCACCTGTCATAAGGCGGAAATCTCTCAACAAAAGATCAGCTGTTTCAGCTTTTGAAGTGAAGTCTGTCATTTCAAGGTCTCCCTTCAGATTTAAAACAACTCAGAGAGACTTTAGTTGCTGAAAAAAGCTTTTTGTGAGTTAATTGATTATAATGGCTGCTTAGTTAACACTGCCATGCTGGCTTGTGTTTCTAATGAGCTGCTGTAATCAGAGGATCTTGGTCTTATGCGTAATGCTGCTGCACTCAAGCAGTTCTTTAGTCTCCTTCCAGATACCTTTTTTCTTTTTTTCTCATTTGTACGATAACCTTCCATCATTTCTCTGTCACACATTCATGTCTGTGTAGCTCATCATGTTAAAATGAGCCGTGTGGCATGGACAGACCACACAGGAGTCATAACAGATTAAGATGTGTGAGAAATACTGTTTTCCCGCCTACGTCTCCCAGAGGATGCAGCTTTGTGAGTGCTTCAGACTCAGGCTTCTCATTTCTATTGCCAAAGATTTATCCCTTCTGACTGGAGTGCCTGTGGTCTCCATCATGTTTCATCTTTTAGATTGCGTTTTGAATCATTGCCGTAAATTAAAATGCGGCTTTTCTCTTCCTGAACCAGTTTACTTTGTGGCGTTCCAGAGGCTGTATCTGTCTCCTCTAGACAAACTCTTATCACTCCTTTTCTACCAAGGTTAATATAGTAAACTAAAGTGGAGCTGTTAAGCGAAAGCACAGAAAGACATGAAAATCAAGTAATACTTCAGTAAAAATAAATAAAAATTAAAGTATGATTGGATCAAAAACAAAAAACTAATTTCCACTGAGAGTAATCAAATATTGTGAAATATCTTTGATGAATAAGCACATATAAACAATGCAGATGTGATGTATCTTACACATATATAAAAATGATTAATCACATTTGTCTTATTTGCTCTAATATGACCTAAAGACCATTTTTTCTATTAAAAAAGCAGTGCATTTTCTTTTAGCTATAAGTGAATGTGTGTGTATATATATATATATATATATATATATATATATATATATATATATATATATATATATAAATATATACATATGCTGGGCTGTATAATGTAGGTGTAGCTGCTGCCTTATGCATGATGTTAAAGTTAACATGTTGTTAATGTACATTATTTACAGCTACTGCCATACTATGAATTTGTTTATCAGTGAAGTACATGATGCAGTCTGAAGTATTTTCTACAAGCAGAACACTGCGCTGTTGCGGCAGTATCTATAATGTTACCAGAATATTCTCTATTCTCAGACTACGCTGGACACTGCTCACGGGAGAACCATGGATAAATCAACAAGCAGCATACTAACAAAAGCAACAGCAAAGTAGAAAGATCCAATTCCTATTGAAACATGACGTGATATAGCAGTATGAGAACGAGAGAAGCTGTAACATGCAGCCCGTATTGCTCTCACTGGACGTCAGTGATGTTCACCCTGCATTCACGTTATTTTATGTTGAGGTTTAAGTTGAATTATTGAAGGAAATAGATAAATTCTAATGAAGCTTATTTTGTTCACTTATAGCTATAAGAAAATGCACTGCTTTTTAAATAGAAAAATGTCTTTAGGTCATATTAGAGCAAATAAGACAAATGTGATTAATAATTTTTACTACAACATTTAATGTGATTATTCAAGATCAATTATTTTAATCTTCTGACAGCCCCAAATGGAACAAAACTTTGTGTCTCCATTTTTCACTTTTTTGACATAAAGCTGTAATCTTGTCTGAAGGCCCAGTGAGTGAATGCCAGAAGCTCTTCGTTATGTGACCCCAGGCAGTACGAGCCCGCTGTGAGCATGTCCTGGAAAACGTTCTGCCTCATATCAAAGAGATGAATTGGAAAATCAATTTTAATGTCTGACCCACCATTTTTTCGTTGTACATGTACGTGTCCGCTAATTAGCTAATTTAGAGTATTGCTGCCTCAATAGTCCTCAAATTATGCAATCATGAATCATAAAGCCCTAATTACTATTAATCTCAGGCTTTTAACACAGCACAGCCAAAGCCAGTGATGGCCGAGCGCAAAAGAAACAGAAAATAACTACCACAGTTTTGTTCTAGCAACGATGAAGAAGATAATGTACTATCTAAGTGCGGGAGGAAAC